ATATATATGTGTGTATATGTATATGTATGGTGAATGTTTAATCTTTTTACTTGATTACAGTAAAAGACACATTTTCTTTAATCCCCCTCAAAATACTTGCTTTGAACACACTTATCATTCTTCCCCCTTTCTGAAGCAGCTCTGGAAGTCCTCTTTCCTGTCTTTAGTTGAGCTGTTGTTGCTGCCCCAATGTCCTTGAATGAATTCAAAATATTTACTTTATGTGATCATTTTGACTTTGAGGAAGAGCCTGAAATCACATGGTGCCAGATCCAGTGGCAGAGGACGCACAGTCCTGTTTTCATGAGCTGCCTTTCTTTTTATGGTGCTTAGCAGCAGCATTCACTGTATCACTGAGATCACATCTCATAAAGACAGTCATGGAAGAGGACTTCCAGAGCTGCTTCAGAAAGGGGGAAGAGTGATGGGATGAGTGTGTATGAAGCAATCAGGAATATTTTGAGAGGATTACTGGCAATGTGTCTTTTACTATAATTATTTTAATGTAACATTCTCCATATTTTTGATAACCTTTATATGTCTAGTAAATTAGTAAATGTACTAGTAAGTTAGTTTTTGCTGTGTCAAAAGTCATGCTCTTAAATTAAAATGTCTGTTCTTCTCGAGCTTTTGTATCTATTTGTGTATTTCAGTGCCTCCAGAAAAAGTTGAGAAGATCATGGATCAGATTGAAAAGTACATCATGACCCGTCTCTATAAATATGTATTCTGTCCAGAAACTACTGATGATGAAAAGAAAGATCTTGCCATTCAAAAGAGGATCAGGTCATTGTTTTGCTTTGTAGTAGATTTATTACCTACCCATGGAAAAACACAAGGCAGTAAAATAAGGACCTTGAGTTTCAAACCCCAGGAGACAGAAAGAGTGGAACTGCCTGCTGTGCTTAACGTATAGGACCTCTGTGCTGTCAAGAAGAAGGGTCCTGGATAATCTTACTTACCCATCTGACCCTCCACGGCTTTAGATAAGAACTGTGGTTGGTGTTTGAGATTATTTCAAATCTCCAAAATTGTCAAGGAATAGGAGGACTTGTTTTCTTGTTTCCTTGCACTGTGCTGTCAAGCAGGAACCTGTAGATGCCACATCAGGGCACTGGCATCCTCTTCCCTCCTTCCAGCCATAGGGAAGAATCTGCATTATTCAGCCATTCCTCCAGTCTCACCTCTCACCAGCACCCAGCCTTCTGGTGATGCTAGGAGACCTAGGACTGGCCACTTGTGTGGGGGCAGAGGCCTAAGGCATGACTATGAGGAGGTGTCTGTCCAGGGCCCCTGATGAGGTCTGGGACCAGGGTCTGGTCCTCAGTCTCTGTACTGGGAGCTGTTCCACAGAAAGCGAGGAGTGGGGGTGGTGGAGCTGGAGGGTAGGGGCCAGAAGTAACTAGATGGGTGTGTGCCGAACAGGGTGTGGGGGGAGAGCAGTAGCCAAGCAAGGGCCATGCAGTGAAGTTGGGTGTGAACAGGAAGTGCACCATGATTCAAACCGATGGGACATGTTCTTTCTGGCCTTCACATGGTTCCTTTGTCCTAGGAAGGGCATTAGGGTGACAGTGAGAATGGGAATTCTTCATATGGAATGCTTCTTAGTCTTAGTAGCAGAATCTCCTCCAGTTTGGGTTTTGGGTTTGTTTGTTTGTTTTGTTTTTTGTTTTTGTGCTACTGGAGATTGAACCTTGGGTCTTCATACTGACCTATACCCCCAGCCCTTCTTTTTAATTAATTTAGAGACAGGATCTTGCTAAATCAGTAGGTTGCCCAGGCAGGACTTGAATTTGCAACCTGCCTCAGTCTCCCCGAGTGCTGGAGGGACAGGTGTGTACCACACCTACTTCTGTTTTCAACCAGTGAAACTGTCTTCTGTTCTTGTGGTAGATGCAGAAGAGTGGTCTTGTTTTAGGGTTCTGGTGACATTGTTCTAATAAATGCAACACTTAGGTGGAGGTGCCTAGGATTGCCTACAGAAGACACACGTTTTCCCTCAGCTGAAAGAAATGACAGGACAAAAGGCCACGGTCCATTCCCGGAGCTCTCCTTTACTGTTTCTCTCTCTCTCTAGAGCGCTGCACTGGGTCACACCTCAGATGCTTTGTGTCCCTGTTAATGAAGAAATTCCAGAAGTTTCTGATATGGTGGTGAAAGCAATCACAGGTAAGTGAAACAGAGAGCTTTGGTACTTGGATATTTGTAGCAATATTAGTTCACGCTTATTCTTTGAGCAGAAAGTCATTCAAGTAATTTCCACACTGCAGACAGCCCAGGATACATGGGAGTATAATAGGAGTGACTTGCACGAGGGTCACTTTTATGACGGGATGCACTCAGAATAGCACGTAAACTCTATCTCCCCTTCATTTCTAGTGATCAGGGCCTCGTTTTTTGAGCCATTAACTAGATTAAGGTCAAATACAGTTAGAGTAAATTTCTGAAGACTCGGTCACATTTAGATAGTGAAAATATTTTACAGAAGAAGGGAACTAGTGAGGCCAGTAATTCCCAAACCAGAGTGACACTAACACAATGCCTCTGGTTCATTGTCAGTCAGAAGTAGAGGTGTGCTTTGCATTACTTTGCTGATTTGACCAAGAAGTAAAGTGGTCGAAATTGATGTGACTTTGCCATTCCGGGTAGGTCCAGGCTCCTAGTTAGAGTTCTGATTCTCACTCATAGGAAAAGCCAGCGGCAGTTCAGCACAGGAGTTTAAAACATGCAGTGGCAAGGATGTCCACCCTCAGCCCCTTCCCCTTAACTAGAGAGAGGAACTGGAAAGACTGGCTCATTTAGACACTGCAGATGAAGTGGGCTGGGAAGGGAAGTGGGCCCACTGGTGTCAGCAGTTGGAAGCAGGCCATGAGGAAGGCGCCTGGCTGTCAGGACCAGAGGTCCCCAGGCTGCTGGAAGAAATGAGGGTCTTGGGGGTTGAGATGAGCTTGTATTATCAGCACTGTAAGGAGGCGGGGTCTCACAGCACTGGAGATCACAGGCCTTCTGTTCCTGATGTGATTCTTCTACTTTGGCAGGCCCTGCTTCTCTCTGTATGTCCTCACACTTCCATTTGTGTTATGAAGTAACTTTTTCTCTGTAATTTCCTGCACAAGTTCTGAGTCCTTTATTGGCCCTGTGAACTCCTGTCATCTTTATTGTGCCAAGATTTTCTGCAAGGCTGCCACAGACCCTGTGAACTGAGTCCTTTGGATCAAGACCCCCCCCCGCCTTTTGCCCAGGGGCCTTTGTAAGAGATTGAAGGGGTGGAATCCAAAAGCCTGATCAAGGCTGCCACAGACCCTGTGAACTGAGTCCTTTGGATCAAGACCCCCCCCCCGCCTTTTGCCCAGGGGCCTTTGTAAGAGATTGAAGGGGTGGAATCCAAAAGCCTGGTTAGTGACCTCATACCTATGTAGTCCTCCCTACACTTAATAAAAAGCTCAAGACTGAGTGGTTTATATTTAGAGTATCCGTCAGGAGTTTATGTTGGGAACCTCTTTCTGAAAATGACAGAATAGATCTTGTGAAACCAGAAATGACAAGTTCCGAAGCATTATTTACTTTTAAAAAGTAATGATAAAAGGTTTCATTACATCAAGAGTTTGTTAGTATATTTTGAGAAATGAAACTTTGTTCTCAAGTCAGTTGACTTGGAAAGTTTTTAGATAGTAGAAATTCATCACAAAAATCAAAAGCCTTTTTGTCTTTCCCATCTCAGTTTCCATATCTGTCAGGCCACCTATAGACAGTTTCTGAGAAGACTGCAAGTTATGTGGTCACTTTATTTATTTATTGGTACCGGGGATCGAACTCGGGTCCTTGCACTTGCAAGGCAGGCCACCGAACCTCTGAGCTAAATCCCCTGCCCCTGATCACTTTATTTATAATCTAAAATTGTTTACCATAGTACAAAAATAGTCTGAGAGGATACCAGTCTGTAACAGCCATCCTCATTTGGAGGTTTTAGTTCCAGGTCCCCAGCACTATCAGTCTTGTGTGTAGATATGCTAAATGAGGCCTTCTCCATTTCATTTGATGTCTCTTGAAAGGAATGATCCATGGGAAGAGAGGAATCCCAATTCCCCTTGGTTCCAGTCTTGGCAGCTGGGGCTTCCAATGGTGTCTCCATGGTGGTGCATGCCTGTAATCCCAGCACTCGGGAGGCTGAGGCAGGAGGATCACTGTGAGTTCGAGACCAGCCTGGGCTACATAGTGAGTTCCAGGTCAGTCTCAAGTACATAGTGAGAACCTGTTTCAAAAAAAAAAAAAAAAAAAAAAATGACTGTCTCCATTGTGGGAGGCATATAGTGAATAAAGATCTTGAGACAGTTAAGCTGACAAAAGTATGCTGGAGCAGGTGGCCACAGCAGTTAAAGCAGATGTCCTGTAGCAGATGCAAAATGGAGTCAAAACATAAAGAAACAGGCCAGGGATTTAGCTCAGTGGCTCCACCACCTGAGTTCAGTCCATGGCACCAAAAATGGGGGGGGGGGAATAAAAATATGTATTTTTGAGCCAGGGCATGATGAGACACACCTGTCACCCCAGCACTCTGGAACACTGAGGCCAGAGGACTGCAAGTTTGAGCCCAGCCTGGGTAATTTAGAGAGACCCTGTCTCATGGTAAAAAATTAATAAAGGGCTAGAGATATAGCTGTGTACCAAGCCTTGGGTTCAATCCTCAGTACCACCAAAAAGAAAGAAAAAGAAAATAACAAGGAATCAGAGAAACCCATCCTCAGCTTTTCTTAGCTCCAAGAGTTTGGGTACAAGGCAGGTGTTGAGGTCTGTAGTCAATGGTAAAGTTTTCCCTTTCTCTTTTAGCCCGTGTGCTACAACTTCTGCCTGGCTATAGGAGCCGTCCTCCAGGGCAGGGTGTCTCAGCCAGGCAGGGGTTGCCCCCAGGTGACATTTGGCAGCACTTGGAGATGAGCGTCTGACACATGCTTTGCACACACTCCCCACCTGGAGACACTGTGGACTGCCGCACCCAGGAAGGCAGCCATGGCGTCCAGGGGGCCCTAAGCGCCCTGCAGTCGTCCACCACAGACCTCTGCAGTGCGTTTGGATAGGGCCACTGTTGAGGAACCATGTGCCAGGAATGGTGGAGTCAGGATTCAGGGCTCCCTTAAGGATAAGCCTGGAGCCAGCTTAGTGCACACTGCCCATCTCTTCTCCTGATGACAGGTGGAGGCCTGGGGCAGGAGGCCTATGGCGATTATCTGCAGACTCTGGAAAAAAAAATAAGCAAATTAGAGAAGGAAATGGTTACTTAGAACAGCGCCGGGAACAGTGAGTTTCCTGTTTACTGGCCTTTTCCTCCCTTCCCCTGAGTGAGCATCAGAAGAATGAAAAGCAGCTTCTCTCAGGCGAGAGGACACTCAAGCAGGGGGCCTCCGCAGGATGAAGACTGTGGGAGGGATGCTCAGTATTCTGCCTTTGGTCTCCTCTGTCCTCATCCTTTCTACAGGCAGCCTGCCCTGTGGCATTGGCCATACATGCCCAGATAAGAAGGAACTGACTTCTGAAACTTGCAGGATAATATCAGTGAGAAAGTGGTTCAGGTTTAATGTAGGGAATGGGGGTGCAGCTCAGTGGCACAGTGCCACCCAGTGTGCCCAAAGCCATGTGCGCATGTACACACACACAGAGAGTTTAGGGGTTACAAATCAGTACTACAAGGCAGAAAGGTACAGAGGATAAATGAAAGTAGTAAAAAGGGCCAAAAACAAAGCTTCCTACTTACCCAGTTCTTTTATAATAAATTCTATTTAAGCAGAAAAGTGAAAATGCACTGAAGTGTAATAACAATAATTAGAACCCAGAATTAAAGGATTACAGTGACCGAAAGTCCTGTCACTCCCACAGTAGTAGGGAGTAAAAGCCCAAGTCTGTGCAGCAAGGCCCTCGCCTGCCCTGACAGCACATCTGTCTCCTGCCATTGGCCCCACCACCTGTGCATCCCCATGGCTGTGGCCCATGAGGGCACCAAGTGGCTGCCTCTGACACGGAGCTCAGGGCAGAGCCCCGGGGCTCGCACCAGGAACACTTGTTCCTGCCAGTGGCACACATGTGCTGCCTCCCTTGTCCTGTGGTGTCCCAGCCAGCGAGCACACATGTACACAGGCTCACACCACCGTGTGACACCAGCTGCTCACACACATCCTCAACTGTGTCTCCTGGGCTCTCCACAGAGGTTGTGCAGTTTCCTGCTTGGACTTAGTAGTGGGTGAGGGCAGTGAAAGATTTTCCTCTGAGATCTGAAGTGCTCCTTTGGGATAAATATGTACCCTTGCATTATCCCTTCTGTGGGTAGGCGGGTGACATGTGTCACATGTGTCCTGTGGAGATTTCCATTCCGAGAGGATTGGCCACTGCAGACCCAAGTGTGCTGCGTTCTGATCTCCAGTACAAAGGTGTTTTGTGTAGTATCCATTTTGCTCTTTATTTATCTGTGTGTATTAATCATACATATGAATGGATTCGTTGTGATATTTGCACATGCATACAGCTCGCAGGGAGAGAGCAGTCATTATCATTTCCCTCTCCTTGCCATTGCTTTAGTTCACGGCTTTTCTCTGCTTGTCCTGGACACTAGTGTACTAGGTGTGTGCATCCCCCTCCGTGAGAGTGACCTCGTCCTCCATCTGGGCCTCGGCACCTATTACACAGCTGCCCTCTCTGCCCCTTCCTGTCTGGTGGTCCTCGGCTATCTCGGCTCCCGAATGCTGGGACTATCTGAGAGGAGTGAGCAATAAAGCCTTTGGCCACTCTCCCTTCGCCACCACACTCAGAAGCTGGCCGGCCCGTGTGGTCAGAAACCTGGGTTTAGGGTCAGATTCTCACTGCTGTCTCCTGCTCTCCGTGTGGTTGTGGGGGTCACTCACCGTCTCAGCCTCTGCTTCCTCGTCTGTGAAATGGGTGGTCGCCTCTGTTGCATAAGCTTGTGATTGCGGAGCATGCTGTGTGCTGCCTGGCTCATGTCGTGGGTCCATGTCCTGTGAGGGAGAACTGGTTTTCACTGCCTGGGCCCAAGCTCTTCCTTGGGCATTTGCTGGGTTGGGAGTCAGTGGAGACATGGTGGTTACCACCACAGGCAGAAACACCCTGTTGCTGCTCTCATTGATTGTTTCCCGTGGTGGCATTGTCTCTTCCGCCTCACAGACATCATCGAGATGGACTCGAAGCGCGTGCCCCGAGACAAGCTGGCCTGCATCACCAGGTGCAGCAAGCACATCTTCAACGCCATCAAGATCACCAAGAACGAGCCGGCGTCTGCCGATGACTTCCTACCCACACTCATCTACATCGTGCTGAAGGGCAACCCACCCCGCCTGCAGTCCAATATCCAGTACATCACACGCTTCTGCAACCCAAGCCGGCTGATGACCGGGGAGGACGGCTACTACTTCACTAACCTGGTAGGACTAAAGTTGGGCTTATAGAGAGGGTTGACTTACTGACTGATTTTTGTTTGTTTGTTTGTTTTTTGAGCAAGATCTCAGTTCAAGCTTGCCTTAAACTCAGGATGATCCTCCTGCCTCAGCCTCCCTAGTGCTGGGATCTCAGGGGTGCACCACACCGGCTTCCTGAGGGATGTGTTTTAGGGTTGTGATGGGCTGTTCCCAGCCTAGAGCCGGAGCCAGCATGGCTGGGGATGCTTGCTCTGTGTCACACAGTGCATGTGACCAGGTCACACAGATCTTCCACCTCCCGGCACTTGGCCAGACCTTGTGGCTGTTGGAAAAGTGGCACTGGTCTCTTGCTGAAGGCATCACACTGGCGTCCTGGCCACAGGCGAGTCCTTTTAGCTGAGCTCTCAGCCGTTAGTCAGTCAGGTCTTGGAGCCTGATCCCCTCTAATAGACTGACCTTACTCTTCCCAGAGCTCCTGAGTCTTCTTTGATCTGGAATTTCTTTTGGCCTTGGCTTCCACAGTTCCACTTGTTCACCCTGCCACAGACAGTGCATCCTCCACTTCTCCTGAGGGGTTAATTCCCCACTGTTTGGTTGTTCTGTCCATCACATAGGCATTGAGCTCCTGTGTGTTGTGTACCGTGCCTCAGACATGATTCACTCAAAGCTGAAACCATTTCCCCACTGCCAGGGTTGCCCAGGGTCCTGTTGCTGTTGGGAGTGTGTGTGTTGGGGGGTCGTGTTAGATCCACCTTTCCCCTGGTGGGTGGGCTCTGGGTGCACAGTGTGTGGGGTCTGGGGAACCGTGGCTGGAGGGCCGTTTTGCTCACAGGATTTCCCTGTGAAAGTCATGTTCAGTGTGCAGCGGCGTGCTCCCCACAGTGACTCAGTCGGATGTGTCTGTGTAGCGGGCGTGTGCCCCACACATCTGTGTCAAGGTTGCTGCCATTTACCTGCTGCTTGGTGGGGACCTCTGGGCCAGGCATGTCATTTGGGTTGTGCTTTCTCCTTCTCATGAGAATCTGGCTGATACTTCCCTGTTTTATGGAGTAGAAACAGCATTTCACAGAGCTGGGCTGACTTCCCCAGGGTCACACACTGTTGCTGTTAGGTGACAGAGGTGACCGTTAACTCAGGTGGTCTGATTTTAAGATTCTTCCTTTGACCATTTGATGGGAAAGTATCTCTTGAAATTCTCAAAGATCTGTGCCTACTGGCTTGGTGTCCTGGTGGGGATGGTGGGTCTGGCCAGAGTTCTGAGGGGTGGCTTTTTGGGGCCCTCAGAGGGGACACCAGGTGCTTGGCAAATGTGTCTGACTATGATTTGGTGATTTTGAAGCTGAAGGACATCAGTTTGTCTGCTTTTGCTCCTATTTCAGTTCTCCATAACAAGATTTTTAAAAAATCTATTTGGTGATGCACACACCTAATCCCAGCACCCTGGAAGGCTGAGGCAGGAGGATCACAAGTTTGAATGCGTCCTGGGCACCCTAGTGACTTAATGAGACCCTGTCTCAAAATGGGCCGGGGACTTAGCTCAGTGGTTCCAGTGCCCTGTTGCTGTTCACAAGCATGGGACCTGAGTTTGATCCCAGGTACCAATAAATAAATGAATGAATGAATGAATGAATGAATGAGCTGGGGAGTGCAGAAGGCCTGGGTTCAATCTGTAGTACTACAAAAATAATTTTTTTAAAAATCAATTTGAATATTTGTAGCTTTTTACACCTGACTAATAGTATTCCCTTCTCTTTGCAGTGCTGTGCTGTGGCTTTCATTGAGAAACTGGATGCCCAGTCTCTGAATTTAAGTCAGGAGGATTTTGATCGCTACATGTCTGGCCAGACCTCTCCCAGGAAGCAGGAACCTGAGAGCTGGTCTCCAGACGCCTGCCTGGGCGTTAAACAGATGTATAAGAACTTGGATCTCCTGTCTCAGTTGAATGAAAGGCAGGAAAGGATCATGAGTGAAGCGAAGAAACTTGAAAAGGACCTAATAGATTGGACAGACGGAATTGCAAAAGAGGTGCAAGACATTGTTGAAAAATACCCACTTGAAATTAAGCCCACGACCCAGCCATTAGCAGCTATAGACTCTGAAAATGTTGAGAACGATAAACTTCCGCCACCATTGCAACCGCAGGTGTATGCAGGATGATGACACTTGAGGGAGATTATTTATTTGAGCCTGACTCGTAGGTAGCCCTTACCACCCCTCTGATTGGGGTCTAGAATATAACTTGCTTACAGACGTCAGAGCATTTTAAGGTACAGTCGGTGGGGTTGTTTAATTTGTTTTGTTTTCTTTTTTGTGGCAGGGGAAGCTTAGTAAATAATAAAATACTATTTATTTGAGTTACTGAAACAGATTCATCTAAGGCTTATATGAAAATTCTGTTTAAATTTTTTTTTCCTCCATGATTTTCCTCTGAGGATTCACTATGGTTTAGTTTGGGGTAAATAATTGCCTTTTAAAGGAGAAAACAAATCAATGCCACAAAGTGTATGTTGAAGGGAATCCAGTGTTGCCACTGTCCCACATTTTGAAATAATTTTGTAACTATAAAGATAGACGATATATTGATAAGTAAATATGTAAAATTGTAAATATGTAAAAGAAAAAAATGGCATCTGCCACACATGGCATTTTGTGTGTTACTTTCTTTAGTTTAAAATGGTGTACTGTGGACCCTTGACTTATGAACTCAGTTCATTCCTGAGGGCTGGTTGTAACTCAGGTTGGAGGTTTGCCTTCAGAGTCTCTCCTGTATAATTTCAGGCCACACTTTCTTCCAGGCAGATCCCAGTGTCCTTAGAGAGACGTCAGCCCAGGGTTTCTCAATGAACCCCCACACAGGAAAGGACATTGTCATGTTCCTTCCAAACTCTTTAAGGCTTAGATCTGTATCTGAGACCATCTGGAAGCACAAGTGGCTGGCATTTGGGTTGTAACTCAAGACTTTGGGGCTGGGGATTTAGCTCAATGGTTCCGGCACCTGCCTCGCAAGTACAAGGACCCGAGTTCGATTCCTGGTACCAAAACAAAACAAAACAAAACACTTTGGTAATAAGTTAAAACTAAAATTCCAGTTGTAATTCAGGTTGTTGGACTGGTTATAATTTGAGGATCCACTGTATACTGGATGTGCCTTTAGTACCTTTTTATTTGGTTTGGCCCCCTCAGATGAATCTAAAGGTGTTCACATGTACTCCTTTTAAAACGTAGGCTCTGTCTCAGCGACACGTCAGGCTCTGGCTCTGCAGTCCAGCTCAGGCGAGTGTTGATCCCTTCGTGTCCCTGCATTTCAGGGGCAGGTCCTGGTCTGGGCACTCACAGAACTCGTGGAAGTCTCAGTGCAGTACACACCGGTTCCTGGAGCCTCCCTGGCACACTCTGACTTCTGGATGGCCCACTGATGTTGTATGACCCTCTCCCAGCACCCTTCTGCCTCAGCACTCACATGTGGCGCGAGACTTCTGTGGCACGGCTGCCCTGTGCATGGTAGTGCACTTAGCAGCTTGCTGCCCTCTGTCCCACTGGGTGCCGCAGCCCCCAGGGTTGTGAAAAGCTGTTCCCACACATTGCCCAATGGTTCCTGGGAGCAAAGGCACCCTGCTTGATCACTGGTCTCTTGTGAGCCAGGGAGTCCTCCTGTGGCCAATGGGATGTGAGCTGAGGTCACGTTAGGGCACAGTGTCAGGTAACCAGGCCTCGCATGGTGCAGGCTTTCCTAATCCCAGGGAAGCTTCTCAGAACCTAACCATACCTGGTTATGACCTCAGCAGATCATTAGTGTCCTTGTGAAATGTGGGGGCTTCCCCAGGGTACTCCCCAACAGCATCTTCCTAAGAACACAGTGCACTGTGTATTGAAATAATTGTGGGCGAAAACGAGGGTGACTATAAAGCATGGCACCCTTTAAGTTTACCCATAAAGTGTACCAGGCATGGCACTTCCATCATGAAGCTCGGCAGTGACACAAGTCAGCTGGTCACCAAGCTCACATGGAAGGTAACGAGTTACTGTCTGGTGCCAGCGAGAATCTTCTCTTGGAATAACCTCTGCCCAAATGATTTCAGTAGCTTTTCCCTCCTTCCTGTTTTCTGTGTACTTTCTAGGAGCTATTCAGGTATACATAGTATTAATTTCTCTGGAAATACAGTGCTTTTTATGTCTGTTTAATAAAATAGGCATATTAGCTGGGTGTGGTGGTACACATCTGTAATCCCAGCACTTGGGAGGCTGAGGCAGGAGGATCACTGTGAGTTCGAGACCAGCCTGGGCTACAGAGAGTTCCAGGTCAGTCTCAACTACATAGTGAGACCCTGTCTCAAAAAAACCAAAAAAAAAAAAAAAAAAAAAAAAAAAAAAAAAAGAAGACAAAGGAGGAGGGGGAGGGGAGGGGGAAGAAGAGGAAGAAGAAGAAGAAGAAGAAAGAAGAAAGAAGAAAGAAGGAAGAAAAGAAAAAAGAAGAAGAAGAAGAAAATATGAATTACGGACTTGCCTCAGGTAGTAGGCTTGTATTTCTCTTAGAACCAACACAATGACCAGTTTGTGTTTCTCAACAAGGAAGTGTGACAGCTGGGTGTGGTGGCGCACGCCTGTAATCCCCAGCACTCAGGAGGCTGAGGCAGGAGGATAGCTGTGAGTTCAAGACCAGCCTGGGCTACATAGTGAGTTCCAGGTGAGTCTCAACTACATAGTGAGACCCTGTCTCAAACCCAAAAACAGAAAACCACACAAAACAAAACAGCGAAGTGTGATATTTTATGGATTGTAAATGTGGTTGGAACGCACCTTTGGGAAGGACACCTTATCAATAAAGTTTCATGATCCATCCTGCTTCCAAATAGATTGATTTAGGGGTCTTTGATAGAGGAACACACATCATTACTAATATTCTCACATGATAAAGTCTGCCTTTTTAAGCTATAGCCATCTTTATCTTAAAAATGGAACATGAGAGAGTTTATTAAGATTCAAAATGACAGGGACACAGTATTTGCTGTCACCACAGTTACTGTTGTGGAAGTTCTGCCTAAGGGACTGGGTCTTCAAACACGAAGGAAGGAGTCTGTCTAATGGAGGCTGAGGTCATAGGTGGGGAGGGCATTCGCTCTGGAGTGACAGGGGTTTTGACCTGACTCTGTTATCATTAGCTCTTTGCACTGTACAAATCTTTCAAGTTCCAGATACCTCCACTGTGAAATGGGGAGAACGAAAGGGCCCGATTCAAGGTGTGGCTGCCAGGCTAAAATGACCTAAAACCAGTGGTAGCCATCATTTCTGTGATTTTTCTATGTAGAAAACCCAAGAGAACTGATACTGAAACTATTAATGTCACTGAAACTGTGCGCTACGAGATGGTAAAATAGCCGTAAAAGTAGCTACAAAAAAACTTTCCTGTACTTGTTACTAACCAGTTAGCAAATACCGGGCAAAATTCATTCACGATAGGAACAGATACAAGTCAACCTAGAACTGAGAACTTTGAAAGATGCACGCGAAGACAGCCATACAACAAACGTGCTGGGCCTATGCTCAGCTCCCTGTGCTTGGATTTGAATGCTCTGCAATTGACATCTTGAAATCTGAATTTTATCCTTGATTTAGTGGTTTGTTAGTGAAGTCCCAATGGGACAACGCCCATGGTGTCCTTGGCCGGGGTGACGTTGGTGAGCCCTGCCTTGGGCAGGTTGAAAGTCCCAACCCTCCTATGACCAGGTGTGGGGTTCCGCCTCATCCGAGACTATCTGGGGCCCCATGCCAAGTTGCCACGTTAGCAGGTGTTAAGGGTTATGTCCAGATGTCCCGCCAAAGCCTCTTTCGCTCCCAGCTGGTATTGGGGAAGGTGACAGGTTGGGGAACATGGTGGGGCACTCTAGATGGCTTGCTGTTGGCAGGGGGTCTGGTCAGAAGAGGCAGTCATTGGGCTTCCCTTCCTGGCCCTGCCCTTCTCTCTCTGCTCTCTCTGCCCTTCCCCTCTGCCACAATGCCCTGCCTTGGAGCCAATGGACTGTGGACTGAAACCTCCACAGGCTGTGAGCCAAAATAAAACTGTCCTTTAAATTGTGGGCGTTGGGTATTGTGTCTCAGCTGCGGGAAAGTGACTAATACCTCGGGTGTCATGCAGAGGGGCTTGTTAGGGCTCAGGCAAGTCCAAAGGTCCTAGCAGCTTTGTGTAGTGAACTGAGGACAGAGACTACATTTATTATACTGTCACTGAATGGGGTCTGAGGTCACCATAAAGAGTATGACGTTGGCTCACTCCATGCAGTTTCTTGAAGCCTTCTTAGGGAAATGTTTGTCAGGATGCACAGGTGGAGTTATAAGCAAAAACCAAAGAAATACACACTCAGAAAGTGTGGGGACTCAAGGGTGAGATGGGCTCTGGATGTGGGCATCCTGAGCTACTCGTGTGGCCTGGATATCTTCAGACACATGGTCTAGCATGTGTATTTTTTTTTTTTGAGTTCTCATTTCCCACACCCGCTTCCCCACCAGTGTGGAGTTCTGCAGAGGCTCATAGCCTAACAGGGACCAAGATAGTGGGGGCCTCATACGACCCTGATGTGGTTGTATAGTGCAAAAGAGTCCAGCAGTTCCTTCTAAAAGTAGATATGCAGTGACTACTCAATCCAGAAATTGTATTCTTGGGTATTTATCCCAGAAGTTTGCTGACTTATAATCACATGGGACCGTGTGTACCAATGTCCCTAACACCTGTACTCATAATGGCCCACCGCAATGGAAATGGCCTACCTGTCTTCAGCATTATCTGTGAACTTATAGGCTGGATTCTTTCCTGTCAGCCCATATCCCTGAGATCCATCATGAACATCAATGTCTCCTTGCTGTTTTAGTGACTATCCCATTCCTCCTGGTTTGCCAGTCTGCAGTTTAGTGACTTTGCAAGATCCTGTCTCAAAATAAAATGTAAAAAATGTCGGGGATACAGCTCAGTATGAAGGCGTTGGCTTCAATTCTCGGTACTGGACTGGGGGAAACAAAAGGTTGAACAAGCAAAATATATAAAGCACTCCTACAACTCAACAACATGCTACAAAGCAATTAAAAATTGACAAAGGAGTCGAGTGGCCATTTCTCCAAGGGAGACACCACTTGGCCTTCCTCACAGGAAAAGAGGCTCAGGGTTAGAAGCCATTAGGGAGATGCAAATCAAAGCCACTGTGAGCTCCTCTCCACCCACTTCCTGTGGCAACCTGTCCACAAAGGCTAATAGCACCTCCATTGTGCATGTGTGGAATGGGGTGGAGCCTAGAGCCTTCACACTGAGCTACATCCACAGCCATTGTTTTTTTTTCATTTTGAGACAGTCTCAATAAATCACCTGTGCTTGCACTTGAGACGATCCTACTTCAGTCTTTGAGTGCTGGGATTACAGGCAGTCCCACCACACCCAGCTAGGGTAGCACCTCTATTTTGAATAGCTCCAAAATAGAATGAACACACTGTTCTGTGTGTTCTTCCGGTGGTGGTTAGTGGATGAGAAACTGCAGCGCCCTACACAATGGAGTAGAATTCCACTATCCCAAGAAGCACTCTGGCCTCAGATGAGAACAGAGGTGAATTTCAAGGGCAATTGGCTGAGTGAAAAAAACCCAAGGTCACAAAGTGGCACACAGTGTGATCGCAGGTGTGTGGTATGGGATGGTGGGATTGGGGTGAGGGAGAAAGTGGCCGTGGGTTGGTGGAGGGCTAGGTTCGGCTAGGGTGAGGCTAGGGTTGGTTTGTGGGTGGTGGGTCTTGGTTCTGCTCCACTGGAGATCATGGGAAGCCTTCAAGCTGGGGCTGGGAGACTCTGAGACTAAGTTAGGGTTGTTTAAAGCCAATAGCAAACACTGAAAATAAAAACAAGCATTGGCTTTCAAAAATAAAGCCCTTAGCCAGGCATGGTGGTGCAGGTAGTGAGGCTGGAAGATTGCAAGTTCAAGCCCAGCCTGTGAACTTAAGTGACTCAGGGACACCCTGTCTCAAAAATAAACATTTTTAGGGCTTGGGATTTAGCTCAGTGGTTCTGCCGCCTGCCTCTCAAATTCAGTGTTCTGAGTTCAATCCCCCATACTAAAACATTTTTTTAAAAGGCTGGGGATGTAGCTTAGTGAAAAGGCTCCCACTATAGGGAAGAAAGGAGGAAAGGAAGGTGTCTAGATGTCCCCTCAAAGCCTCATAGGGGGCTTTTCGGTCATAGGGGGCTCTTCAGAGGTGGCTGGATCTGGAGTGTGTGGTGCTGGGATTGAGGGTGTGTGAATACTAAATCAGTCCACTGATTGGTTTGGCATAGTTCTGCCTAGGATTAAGGGTTTGAGTGCCATGCCCACCTTAGATCAGGTAACCTGAATAAAATATAAGGGACAGAAAGAGGGCTAATGTGCCCTCCCCTGCCTGCTTGCTGTGGACTGTTTCTTCTCTGCGATGCCCCTCTGCCATGCCACCCTGCCTTAGACCCAGCCAGTTATGGACTGAGCCTCTACAAACTGAGCCAAATAAATCTTTCCTCCTTTAACTTTGGGTGTTGGGTATTTTGTCTCAGCAATGAGAAAAGTAAGTCAGGGGGAGCTTCTGTAATCTATTTAGTATAAAATTAAAGGGAAACATGTCTGTGGTGAAGTCCCCAAGGCTCAGCTGCTGCATGTTTCCTGCCATCTGCTGCTACCTGCAGGTCACAGGCAGGGGCAGCCACAGGGTGCTGTGTGGCACCCTCTGGCCAACTGGCCATGTGGCATCAGAGCAGGGAACCTTAGAGGGCTGGAGCCTGCCCCCTTTGAAAGAAAGAACAATGAATTGTGTGCATGAGGGTGTCTGGTTTAAGTTTCTGATACTGAATCCCATTCCTGCTGACTGGTTTCACTGCCAGAGGACAACTGTGGGCTCCCCTAATTAAAAAGGCAATGACAGGGCAGGGGATTTAGCTTAGTGGTTCTGCTGCTTGCCTTGCAAGCTCAAGGTCTCAAGTTCAATCCACTGTACCAAAAAAAAAAAAAAAAAAAAAACGGAAAA